ATTCTATTTATCAATCCCAATACAATTAATATTATAAAATTCATATATTACCCCAATCATATATACTACCTATAATCATGCTCTAAAGTAATATGACCTAAAGTTTTTTTGTTTTTTTAATCAATTTCTCTTTCATCAATTATTTTTCCCATTTGATATTCACATCTATAATGTTTATTATTATAACTGAATCATCTCATAATCTATATATAAATAAAAACAAGAATTTTTTTCTTTATATGTTACAATTTAAAATTTTATAAATGGACAAAATATATTCAAACTATTAATATAATGTTACAATGAAACATAATATACAATATAACATGTTATTTTATTATATAATATGGTATACAATATAATATATAACATGATATATACCATATAACGTGTAATATTATATTCATCATATTGTATATAATATTCAAAACATATTACTAATTTTACTGCTATGTAACATAACATAACATATGATATGTATAGTTATAAATTGACAATGCCATGTTAATATGTGGCATCTTATATATTATGTAGCATGTTATATTACAAATAATATGTTATACGTTACAAGAATATGACATACCATGTAAATATATGACATTTTGTATGATATATAATATGATATATTTCAAAATAATAGCATACAAGAATATGATGTTTATAATAATAATATGGCATATCATGTTAATATATGATATTTTGTATGATATATTACATTCTAATTATATCATATAAATACCTAGTATATAGCATATTATACTACGTTTTATTTCATATTATATTAATATTTTGAGTAGTCACAAACATAAGAAAATGTGAACATCAATATATATGGTATGTCATTTATATGACTACGTTTCATTATAACATTATATGAATAGTTTGTTTAATATATGTCAATTTCAAAATTTTCAAATTGTAATATATGTAGGAAAAAATTTTTGTTTTATATATATATATATAGATGATACAATAATTTAACTTTTAAACAAAATATTATATCAAACAAATATCATATGGGAGAAAAAAGTGATGAAAGCGAAATGATTAAAAAGAAAAAAATGTCAGTTTTATATGGTACATTATTTTTTACTCTGACACAATCTGACAGAAACAATTTTTGTGTCATAACATTAGATCATAGGGATAGTAATGTCATTTGTCAGCCCATTTCGTTAATAAATTCAAAAACAGTCTACATTGTTAAATATCCTACATTGACATGCCATATTGTGGCATTTTTCTTTGAAAAATATAATTTCTACCTCAGCTAAAATGAGATTGGATACTAGACTACTATTATTTAGATTTTTCCGTTTTAATATTTTTTTTCTTGGTATCTTTGATTGCAAATCTCGTGAACCCAAAAGCTTCAACAAGTGTTTTGACAAATGAGGAATTTATTTATCAGGCTTGCTCATAATCAAACTCAAATCCATTTTTATCC